GCCCTGCGCTCCAGAACGACGGCGGGTCGAGGTGACAGATCCCCCTTTGCTGGCCAAGGGCTCCCTCGGAGCCAGGGCAGCAGCTCTTACCTCCGAGGTGCTGCGGGAGCCGCTCCAGCTCCAAAGGGAAACTTGTGCTTTGCTGTTGACAGCAGGCTGCCCAGGCTGGAGGGAAACAGCATCGAGATCAGTAACTCGGGTAGAACAGGCATTAGGGCACAATTTCCAAGCAACAAAGGAAAAATATGAGTGTTCATTTAAAGGTTATGGTTGCTGTGAAAGGATAAAGGACGAGGATTTCCTGTGCATTTGTAAGTGATCCTGACGGAGAACGGGACTGCAGGAACAGACGAGAGCTTCTTTTCCCAGCAGGAGAACCTGTGAGCATGGGATCATGCTCAAGTCCTTTGCCAGAAAGGAAGGGTGAATTTCTTCAAAAACTCTTGCCCAGAGGGCACCTGCTTTGGCATTTTCTATTGCTTGTGTGGTGACAGAAAATGAGCTGCAGGTCTCCATGGACAGCAATGTGCCAGCTCTGTTAAGTGTGGCTGTTTCAGGCAGAAATATATACATATATATATAAAATTTACAATTTTTTTTGTATTTTCTAGGTCTGTGGAAACCTGCTGACCTCAATAGCCCTTGTGCCAAGTCTCAAAAGTGACATTCATCCTCCCTTGTGGCAAATATGACGTCCCTCTCTTCCAGTCCCCGTGGCAACATGAACGATACCGACACTTCGAGCAGCATCAGCGCGACGGTGGAACTGTTCCAGCTGGTCATGTACACTCCCATCTTTACCCTGGGGCTGCTGTTCAACGTGATGGCTCTGTCATTCCTGTTTTTTAAGGTTAAAAAGCTCACTGAATCTACAGTGTACATGGTAGCCCTCATTTTCCTGGATACTTTGCTGCTGTTTACTCTTCCTTTCAAAATCATTTCCTATCACCTTCAGAACAACTGGAGCTTGGGGTCCGTGTTTTGCTCGTTCTTGGAAAGCCTGTACTTTGTAAACATGTACGGCAGCATCCTCATCTCCCTCTGCATCTGCGTAGACCGGTACGTCGCCATCCGGCACCCGTTTGTGGCTCTGAGGCTGCGATCCACCAAGAAAGCTGCTCTGGTCTGTGCCCTCATCTGCCTGGGCACCTCGGCCGGCACCGCTGCTACCTTCCAGCTACACGGGCAGGACCACAACTTCTCATCCTGCTTCCATAACTTCTCCAAAAGTACGTGGGAAAACCAAGGATTGTTCAGTGCCTTGGAGACCACCTTCCTTTGCAGCATGGTGACCATGACCTTCTGCACCATCCAGACCCTCAGATGTTTGAGAAAGCTCAAAAGCACTGACAGCTCCCCAATAAACACAAAGAGAGCAGAGAAGATAGTGGTGACAAACCTCGTCACCTTTTTGGTCTGCTTCACTCCTTACCACGTGGCATTCCTCTTGTATTTCTTGGTGAAGAACAACATCATTCACAGCAGTCTTCAGCAAGCCCTACGAGCCGTCCTTCAGATCACACTTTGCTGGGCCAACCTGAACTGCTGTCTGGATGGGATCTGTTATTATTTTGTCCTAAAGGAGTCTTTGGAAGACTCAGTGCAGAGTCAGAAAGCAGCGAGGCGCGGGCTCTGAGCCCCGTGCTGCACGGCCGTCACTCGGGACGCCGGCCTGGAAGGTGTCTCTGGCTGTGCAGACCTGCCATCACTGCAGGGCCAGCCAGGGCTGTCACCTGCCAACGTCCCAGGAGCCACAGGTATCCCGTGGGAGCAGGAACAGCTCTCTAGGCAGAGGCAAAAAGCTGCCTGCAAGGTAAAAAGGTAAAATGCCTGCTTGAAACATCCCCGATGCATGGAGATGCTTTGTTAGATGCTGCAGGGTCCTGAGCCACTTATAAAGTGGATTTACTTTAAATATTGAGGTCTGAAGATATTTCAGGAAAATCATAACTAAGACTGCTCCCAAGAACATACTCCTAATTTATCTTGTATAGTATTTTGTATTGACATTTATGAGTAAAACAAAATTCAATTATTTTCTATAAATGGTCCTGTGTATCTCTGTGGATGTGATTCTTTTTTACTTTGAAAAAAAAGAGCTTTGTTGTTTAGCAGTGGGACAAGGGGGAGGACAGCAGTGGGTGACTGCCCACCTTGTCACACGGAGCAGCACTTGGCTCTGCGAGGAGGTTCCCTGGCCAGCAGGCAACGCGGTTCTTGAGCAGGCTGCAGCATCTGCCCCTAGATACCCAGCCCCATGCCTGAAACCTGCACAACAACATCCCCAAGGACATCCCGTCCTCCTGCCTGAGCAACTGAGCTTACTGTTTATTAATTATTTTTTTATTATTAAGAGTGGGATTATTTCCCACCAAAAGCGAAGTTGTCCTTTGCAGAAGTACCTATGCCAGCAACAAGCTGTTTGCTCCCGGGCAGAGTTTCAACCCCACGTGCGCCAAGTTACCCGAAAAGGTGACATTAAGGAGCACTGGGCACCTGCCCCTGGTAGTCACCAGCAAGAGACCATCAGATTTACCCAGGTTCATTAACTGAGGCAATTAGCTTTCACATTCATGTTGAGCTAGATCCCTGCAACACATCCTCTAGGAAGGGAACTAACCCCAGCCCTTGAAGTATCATTTCACTGTACATTTTGAGGAAGGATAACGTGCAGTGTATGGACTTCTTCCCAGAGCTGGTGATTTTGTACCTGGAGACTCCAGCCTGTAAAACTGTTTTTTTTTTTTTCTTTTTTAAGTTGCTATATGTATGAGATTGTACCAAATAAATCCATTTACTGAGGGAAACACTGACCTGACACAGGCATAGGTCCGTGTTGGTGTTTCTGGAAACAAATGCCCTTTTGCCAGGGTTAAACGGCAGCTCTGACACAAGGTTCCCACAAACCTGCCTCGGCTTCACACAGCTCCTCCTCCTTTAAGCTCTTACCCTACCTGCATTGCACAGCTATTTATTCTTGGATTCCTGACTGAAGAATTGAGGCAATACTGGATATATCAGAGAGGTAATGCTGGCTGGAGTCACTGCTCCTTAGCATCCAGTCGGCTTTTCAAGCCCTTTCTCTGTTTTTTTGAGGGCTGTGGTGTTGCGATTCAGGCCACCAAAGCAGTATCTAGCTGCCTAACACTATTTTAATCAGTTCTACCAAGGATTACAAAGGGTCCTTTTGAAAAGAATAGCTGGACATCATTGTTATTAAACATGTCTATGAAAATGGAAACATCTTTCTTCCCCAAAATGTTTCAAACCAGGAGTCAAACAGAGCTCAAGCAGGATTATGAGTGCAGGGTAGCTATTTTCCTTGCAGGGGGAAAAGATCATTTTGCAAAGGAGACATTTTCCACTCAAATTTTTTCTACCAGATCTTTCTTACTGCCTCCAGGCCTCTGAATACTCACTGTGCAGCTGAGGTCTGGCATGGCCTGATCCTTTCTGTTTGGGGGAGGGTCCTGCAACTGCTTATTCCCTGTGCCAAGGTTTACATCCAAGCCTTGACATTGGGTATCTAGTGAGACTACAGCGAGTTCTCTTTGCACAAAAAGGACATACAGTGGTTGGAAAGAACTGAAAACAAAACTGAAAACTCCAACATAAAGCACTCTCCAGAATGCAGGCAACAAAAACCACCAAAAGAAAAAGCAAACCCCAGGCTTTGTTTGGAAATGATTCACTCCCCAAGAACTAGAGGTTCAGTCTTAACACACACAGTTCTTAGCCAAAGTCCAAGCTAGTTTATAGAGTTCTTAGCCAATAATCAAGTTAGTTTATTCTGAAGAATGGCAAGGACAGGGATAGCTCTTTTAGACCTTTTTTTTTTCTCCCCTTGCTCTTTCCTTTTGCGTTGTGACAGTCACTAGGGTCAGGGGGCAAAAGGGGAAACGAGGACGGGGATTCCTGCTATCATGACAAAGCCCCTTGCGCAGCTCCTGCCCCTTTTCTCTCATCTCAGTATTTCTGGTAGCTGATACAGGCGCTTCCTTTCCTCCTGCCATGCCTCAGGTCACAGCAGTATCACGGTCCTTCCGGGCTCTCCGTGCTGCTGCGGCCCTTTCCGAAGGCTCCCAGCCCGCGGAGGCTCCGCCACGTAGCAGCCTCGCTCACACGAGCGGTTTTCGTGCTCACCTACTTGCACGTTTCACCAAACGCCGTGTTTCAGTTTCCAGCTCGCTCACGCCCACGGCACTTGACACACAAAACAATCCAAACGTCCTCGCTCTGTTGGCAAAGCCGCATGACCACGACTCCCACCTCCACCTCGTCTGGGCCAAGCCAAAGAGGGTAAGGAAGGACCCAGTGCGTTCACCAAACGCCGTGTTTCAGTTTCCAGCTCGCTCACGCCCACGGCACTTGACACACGAAACAACCCAAACGTCCTCGCTCCGTTGGCAAAGCCGCACGACCACGACTCCCACCTCCCACCTCAAGCCAAAGAGGGTAAGGAAAGACCCAGTGCAGGTCTCGGGTGTGCAGCACCCCTGAGGATTTCACCGTCAACATGTAGAGGGGCTGCAATGGCCACCAGCTCCAGCAAGGTCTGGCCTGGCCCGTAATGTCCTCCGGAGATGAGCGAGGAGGAACAGCCACATCCTTGGCTGCTTGGAGAGAAGGGCCCTGCACCAGCCCCAGCTGAGCACGTGGAGCAGCACGCGGCAGGCCCTTCTCTGAGACTATCAAAAAACCCCAAACTCAAATGTTTCCCGCGGAGAAAAGGTGAACCACTGCCATTTACAGGTAGCAGAGGCTGTAAAACCTCCTGCCTGCTGTATGCCATGGATTCATGCTAATCCTTCTCTCTCTTCCAAGTCAAACAGGCATTATATCTGAGAGCAGGTAGATCCATTAGTTATAAACACCATAAGATGATCATTAACCCAAAACTAAGCATCAGAAACCCAGGAAATTCCATTTAGATTCCATTTCAGCATACACCAAAGCAATCCCAACTGTTCCCTGTTAAGTTTAAACTTTGCAACTATAAGCAACGCCATCCCCTATAGACCAGCATCTAACCTGACGTCCCACGGGCAGCTGCAGTATCTGAGCTCACGAGAGACCCTCACGCAGTCTGAAGGGGAGCTAGGAAAGCACGAGGAGCAGAGCCCAGCTGGACTTGATCCACGCCAATGGGAGGAGACACAGCTTGAAAACATCACAGGTGGAAAGAGGTGAAGTGACTGGGACCCTCCACAGGCACAGGTGAACACAGCTCTGAGAGCCCCACGGGCAGATCTGTCAGCTTCCTGCAGGCTCAGATTGCTCAAACAGCCGCCCCGGGAAGAATGGCCAGCGGGCACAGTGCCCCCCTGCCCCGGGGGGGAAACGCTGAACGGCCTCCTGTATCACCAGGGATCGATGACAACATGTCACACCAAAATGGCACAAGAGGAGCCAGTGCAGACTCGTGGCTGCAGGACAAACCTGAATGGGACACACGCGGCCACGGCTCTCGCTAATGGGGAGACCCTCGGTGCCTCCCAGCAGCATGAAACCTGCCTCCAAACAGCACATTCCCCTGGTTCAGACCAACAGAGCCGAAATGAAGCCGCATCAGTCCATTTCGGACACAATCACACCTGCTGCATCATTATCCTCCGTGCCGTTATGTAATATTCTCTCCTTCACACCTCTCGCTTCCCTTCAGCCTCCCACATCCTCCCGTCACAGACGCCGTTACCATCTCCCCGTGTTCGCTGCCCAGCCGCGACGCGCCGGGATACGCACCCACGCAGCCACGTCCCCCTCACAGCGCCGGGGGTCCAACTCCCACAGCGCGACGGCTGGGGCCTGTTTTGTTTGCAGCAGGTCAAGTGGTGGTTTTTATTCTTCTCCAGCCTCAGCTACACACTTCTAAGAATCCTCTTTCGCAAGTTCTTACTAAGCACGTAGCATCAGTGCTTTCAGCTAACATTTCTATGTCCTTTAAACACAGCTGTGAACAGAGCCTGTAAGTCACCGTTCCTCTTACCCAACTATTGCAAAATTGTTTAGCATACAGATAGTTTCCCAGATAAGTACGAAGCGCTGGGATTGCGCGGAGCCGGCCGGGAGCTGCGAGGCAGGAGGCGCGTGGCGGGTCAGCCCGAGGGCACCCGGAGGAGCCTTGGGACACCGGGAGCATCCCTGGGCTCCGCACGAGTCAGGTTTCCTGAACCAGGACTGCCG